CGGATCTGAAGTATGCAGCTCAAAGGATCATGGCGACTTTATGTCAACACGTTAACAAATATTTACCGCTGAAAACGAATATATTTCTTATTTTTCATAACATTGACACTTATATTATTTGTATATACAATTTTTCACCATACATCGTGGCATTTTCAACTTGAAATTTAATAACTAAAACACTTTAAATTGCTAATAACACCAACAAATAATTCAAAAAACGGCGGTCCATAAATGATTTACTCACGCGGATACGAGCGTAGAATAGAAATTTCGGAGCAATTCGGGTGGCGTCGTGGACACAATGGTGGGTTACTTAGGGTTGGAATAGACAACGTGCGCAATGTGCAATGTTACATCTTCGGTCTCTTTAATCTAAGCCCACACCCAACCCTCCTTTTTTAGGGGCCTCAACAGTAACCTCAAAATATAAACTATTTTTTTTTTCATATCAATAAATGAGAGTTTTTAAATTGTGAATTACTGTTATTTTATTGAATTTATTATTATTTTTTTAATTAATATGATACTGAACTATATTGCATCGCAAGTACACATAAAAGTTTGTGGTCGCAGATGTACATAAAATAAACGAATTAAAAGGAATAAAAAAAATGTTAGAATCACGCAAATGCATATTATGTTTTTCTCAAATTTTTAATAGTGATTGATTATGGTCAAATTTCGACCACTGGGCGAACAGCAGTTATTTTTTAATGGAAAATAAGCATTTTAAAAGTTTATATAAATCACAATAAGTTTTTTTTTAAATCTTCTATCAAATTACTAGCGTTGTATCTTTTTTCAGTTTGAAGACTTTGTCGAACCCAAAAGTTTTCTTTTTTTAGTCGCGATAATAATATATGCGGCACAAGCAACTATAATGTCATCTTCGTCAGACATCTTAATTTCGACTAATCGACAAACATTTATGTCAACTCTGGTATAGACAGATGCAGTTTTGTAGACTTGTTGATCAACAATGTCGATAGTCAGAGTCGATCGGCAGTGTTAATTCGGTGAGGACGCACCTTAAGATTCCACTTAGTTTCAACCTAACCTAATCTAGTAGAAAATATTTATTACTTAATATGCCTATTATTTTGTCCTTAAATAAAAATTAGGGAATAAAATGGAGCCAGTTTTCTCAGAATAATGTGACACACATTTAGCTTCGAAAAGTGATACCTGTAATAAAAAATGAGTAACTAATTGTTAAAATCCATTCGACTTTAATCATCTCCATCAAAATTTCAAGTTAACTTCCAAAAAGTCTCCAGAAACCACCCAACAAATTATTTTTAAATTTTCGCATCCACCATCTGTGCCTCACCGGGATTGAAATGATTAAGAAACCCCCCAACAGAGCCGCTCAACTCTGTCGACTCGCACTTATTAAGAATCCAAGTATGCCTTGACGCGGAATTCTTTTATTTCATTAAAAAACAATTTGGAGTCAGTTCCAGCGTTCATAAATAATTCAATAAGCTACAAATCGCGCTGCCAGATTCCAAAAAGATAAATTAATATCGGAAAATATCGTTGAATAAGAATAATGCTTCAGTTACAGGCCGATTCTTTCTCTGTAAATAAAAAACCAAATCGTTTAATATTTTAATGCTTTTTCAAGAAGAATGACTGCTGTCTGAATATATTGATATGGAAATTAATGACGTCACCATAATTTCTGAACTATGTTGGGGGTGGTGAGTTTTGCGAAAAACAAAATTTAATTTAATAAATCAGGATGTCGGGTATTATTGAAATTTGTCAGAAAGAAGTTGTAAAAGAGACGAAAATTTATGTTTTGATTATAAAAGTTGAAAGAATGTTGATACATACAAGTTTTTTCCAATTTTCCGTAACATATATAATGCTCGTGCGTAAATGATTGAAAATAAAAAAATAACCGAATAAACCAAGGAAATTTTTATTTATATAAAATTCTGCTACGGTCAGGAAATTATCCTTATTCAAATAATATTTTATTATTTCTATAAATATTTTAATAGTCCAAGCGGTGACCGCCGTAAAAAGGTGGTCAACCAAAATAAGTACAAAAATATATTTTATTACTTTTTGGGTATTAGACGAATAACAAACCATCGGTCTGGTAGTCCATGACTTGTTCAATTTTTTTTTTAAATAAAATTTGTATTTTATTTTTTTTGTAAAATTGATCTACATAACAAACATAATTTTTTAGTTTACGATGGCGTTTTGATTAGATGAATATAGAAATTCAAGTCTGGCATTCTTATTCTTGACGCAACTGTTTGTCAGACCACCCCCAACAAATTTATTACAACAACAAATTTTCTATACAAGGTATAAGAAAAAAATCAAACGTCAAAATTTTTATTTTTTATTCCTCTTTCGAATAAAATTGGTCTGGCACGTTCATACTTGACCAAAATTCTGCCAGACCAAGATTAAGCAAGTCCTTCTCTACTGCTTGTAAAGTGCGAGTTGTTTTTGTTTTTAACATAATTGATATTATTCAAATCTTAACCTGTTTAATTCGCCAAAATGTGATGTGCGTGTTTTTAAATGACATTTACTTAGCTAAATAATTAAAGTCTATTCAGATTTCATTTACGCCGCGTCAAAACAATCTCTCCCATCCAGCAACAGCTCACGTGTCATTTGTTTTTGCGCTTCTATTGGTTAATCTGTCGTTAGTCATTTAAACGACGCGCAAATATTTTTTATCAGAGTCGAATTTAACTCAATTTGGATAATTATAAACGGCGTTTTGGTAGCATTCACCGTGTTGGTTAGTTTGGACATTTTGTATGTTTGATTGATTATAATTCATTATATTATAGTTTAGATATACATAGATTGTGTTATTTATTTTTGTTTTGTTTTTGTGGTTGTTGTTAGTTTGAATATTTTTTACTCTATTTTATGGACATTTCATTGACTATGTTTTGTAACTGCTACGTGACACTATGTCCTCCACAGATACAGCAGATGAAGTCCAGAAAAATGTTTTTACTCCTTCTAAAAAGCGACCGAAAAAGGGACATTTGATCATCCGTACTAAAGAAATGGTTCTTAATATTTATAAGCATTAAATTTTATAGAACCCTGATATGTTGGTACATGATGTTGAAAGAAGAGTTGCTGATAAAACAGGGATGTGCGCTAAAACCGTTTTAAATGTTATGAAGGAGTATAGGCAGATTCATAAATTTTCTGAACCAAAAAGAAAGCTACGTTATAAACAAATTAGTGGCTCTGTGGATGATTTTGATAAAAATGCAATAAGGCGCAAAGTACATCAATTCTTCTTTAGAAATTAACTTCCAACAATCGCTAAGGGTTTATAAGAAGTCAACGATGATCCATATTTGTCTACTTTTAAGCGAGCTACATTTTACAAGCTTTTCAAAACCCTTAATTTTAAATTTAAAACTCGAGGAAAAAATAGTTTGCTCTTAGACAATATGAAATTGTTTCGTCCTACGCTACAAAAAATAAAACGGTACAGAGAAGAAAAGCAAAAAATATATTATCTTGATGAGACTTGGACTAACGCAGGCCACACCAAATCAAAAGTATGTTTCGATATGTCGGTTTTATCATCCAGACAAGCCTTTTTGGATGAACTTTTAACTGGTTTCAAAAACCCATCAGGTATGTGCGTAAAAACAGCTCATTATATGCCATATTGGAAGTGAAGAAGGCTTTGTCTCTAATGCACTTTATGTATTTAAGTTGAAAAATCCGGTGACTACCATGAAGAAATGTGTGGAGAATCGTTCAAAGAGTGGTTTTCAAACACCCTACCAAAATTAGAAGATAACTGCATTATTATTCGAGAAAGCTGGAAAAAATACCTACAACGACATCTAAAAAAGGTGATATTTAAAAATGGCTATAAGGGAAAAAAATTTAATTCGACTACCAAATGCTTAAGATCCAACTTCTAAAACTTGGTAAGCAACATAAACATTATAATAGGTATGTAATAGATGAAATGGCTAAGCAGCAAAACAACATAATATTGAATTAATCTAGGTTGACGTTAAACAATACGTAGCAGATAAAAACTCAACATTTAAATCTGGAGACATTAAAATTCTTTTTGAAGAAGTAATATTATTAATTTCTCCAGAAAAATGGAAAAAGTGTATCGACCATGTTCGCCAAAAAGTTGAAGTAAAAATGTGGGAGTTGGATAATATTATAGAGGTTCAGGTAGAACCACTTGTAATTTTGATTAATGAAGATAGCCCTTCAAGTCTAACTAATTTATCCGATTCAGAATAGTCAAGTCAAGTCAAGTAAGGAAGATTGCTATAATAACGGATACAAGGTGTCTAATCTAAATACTAGTTGAACAATAAAGAACAAAAGTTGTCAAAAATACAGGTTTCTTTTTAAGATGCACAATTTTAAATCAAATACCAAATTCAAATACCAAATACCTCTTATATTTAAAGTTTTTTTAATGCTTTTAGTAGATATATATTAGCTATTAAAGAATTTGCAATTATTTATAATATAATTTTATAATATGATTGTTTTAATGCTCTGTATCACAGTAGACATGTGTAATGAACTAAATATAATGCAAACATCTCTTTTAAAGTCAAATACATTTATTAATTTGTATTGCAGGTTAACGCAGTTTATTTCGCTCACCTATCTTCGTCCAGAAATCTCACTAAAGTCTGGGAGACCGTGTATGGCATTTATTTTATAGTTTTAGTTTACAAAATATGTTTTTATCGTAATAAAAAAATAATTTCACAATTACACTCTTTTATTTTACATTTTTGCAAGACGGAAAAGTAAAATACGGCCCTGCTCAATTTTAGCGTCCACCTGCTTCTGTTTACATGAGGCGTAAATTAAATTTGAATGGACTTTAAATAATTTTTTATTGAATTAGAAAAATGAAATGCTTTATCTGTAATATCACTAATAGCAAGGAGAAAGTATTACCGTTTAATGCTAATACATTTAAAAGATGTTGTTTATTTGTTGAAATGAGAAAAAAGAATCATTTCAAGTATGGTGATTTAATATTAATACCTGAACTTCAAAAATCTGCAGGTTATCATTTGAAATGTTACCGTAATCTGGTTGCTGTAAAAAAATCAGTGGTTGACGAATTTAATAAATCTTCACAAAGAGAAAATACAAATAATGAAAAATTTACTAACGTAAGTATATATATTGTCTAAATAATTTTACGGTCTATCTAAGTGCATTTAATAATATTAGGCTCAACCAAATATTTCTTCCAATTCAACTGATTTTGTTACCGATTCTACTGGTTCATCTGAACTACTGCCATTATCACTATCAGATGAATATGTGGATAGTAGGATACGTCTATTTCTAAATTAAATTTATAATTATTTTTTTGTATGAATTATCTTCTTTAGAATATTTTAGTGATCATTAAAATTTTTAGCCGCAACAAAATACATAATCTACTACATTGAAATCTTAGACAGAACAGAATAATAATTCAACTGATGTTTGAATTTTTTGTTCATCACAAATGACGAAAGTAGGAAGTAATAGACCTTTTCATCATGTGATGAGAGCAAGCGCAGCCACCATGTTGAAATAGCGGTAATTCAAAAGTTTCGTACTGTTTTGATCGACAATGGCTGGGAAAGCAATATTATCTCCACAGAAAAATTAATCATTAGAAAAAATCGTTGATGGTGATTAACTTTTTCATAACTCTGTGGAAGCGCATAGTTGTGAGAAGTTGAAAAGGTGGTTGGAGTGTCTTGGATGTTTGCTACAAACGAAAAAAGGGGACTGATTGAGAGGTTAGGTGTATCAATACTTCTTAACTGTGTAAAAAATTAATGAAAACAAACAATAATTGTAACTCCATTCTAATTAATTATGCCAACCAACTATTAGTACTTGCAAAAACACTTTAATTAACATGAAAGTTATTCACGAGTATAATTAATAAAATATATTAGGTACCTATTTAATATTTTGAGGATCCACATGACATGTTTAATCAAATTACTGTGTATACCGAAGTAGAATTTAATATTAAAAAAATATTGTTTAATACCAGATAATAATTTTCTTCTGTTGGACCACTTTCTCCATGAAAATGTAATTAACAAATATAAGTATATTCAGTAACATCATCAATCCATCGAAAACCGTTGTCACTTCGGACTTCGACCACATTTTTTCGCACCTAATGCACATTTGCTTAATAAATTGATAATTTTTTACGATATTGCAGCCAAGGCTTTGGAATATTTATAAAATAATATGTATTGTATGTATTGCCTTTGAATTATTTATACCGTGTGTCAATTTTACATACTCCATAACAACACCGTTTCGTGGTTCCTTTCCGTACAGATAACATAATTATTATAATTGATTGCAAAAATATATTTTTCAATTAAGACACTAAAATTATTATTACTTTGCTTTTTCTTCCTTTTTTTGTAAATGAATATACTTAAATTAATATTTATCGATTATAATTTTTTTCACGTGGGCATTTTAATATGCTTGTTTACAAAAACAGTACGAAAAAGATGGCTGATATTGTCGCATGCGCACGAAAAAAAATTATGATGAAAATGTCTATAGACAAACTTTATCAGTATCTACTACCGATAAGCTATCAAATAACATTAAACTTTTTACAAATGGTTTGGATGACTTTGAATTATTGGAGAAACTCAACAATCGCTCAGTACTTGTCTATCATGCAATTTGTAGATTATGATACCAAAAACAATACGAAAAAACGTTAGATGTTTTAACAGAAGAAACAAACTGGCATAAAGTTAGAGAAATACATAAAGACGCACTAGAAGCAATTTTGCAATTTACTGAAAAGGAAATTATCAACGAGGAAAAAGTATTTTATTTTTCTGACATATTTAAATTTTACAAAGCATTATTTATTGAAATAGCAGACAAAAATTCATATGATATTAAATTTGACACATATAAATCTAGTTATTTAGAAGAGAAAATTTTAAAGTCTAATGGACATAAGATTATTATTGAATCTTTGTCAGTAAACATAAAAAACAAAGTAATTTATAAGCGTAATATTGACATATGTAATTTAATCCACTCATCAGCAGTAAAAAATAATTCAGAAAAATATCAATTGCGTGATATAGCATACTAATTGAGTAATAGTATCAAATCTTTGCCTGGCAAAAAACTTCCAAATAAATTAACTACAGATAACATATTTTCAGGAGAATGTGATATACCTGAAGTATTATATGATATTGTTAGTGCACTTGTTGAAGGACCCGACGTAAGAAGACAAAAGACTAATTATGACGATGTGAGAATTAAATCACTATGCGAAGATATTATCTTTATTGTGACAAAACGCAGGATAAAGCCACCAAAACAACTCAAGCTGGGCTTAACAATTAAATTATTAACAAACAGCCGAATATTAACTATTTTAAATAAACTTGGATACACCATAGCATATACAACTGCAGAAGAATTAGAAACAGAATTAACTTTTACATCGCATGAAACAAGTAAGGTTAATACCTTCAAATTGATAATGTTGTAATAATCTCAGTACAACAATTTCCTTTTTATTATATTATATAAGATTTGCTAACTTAGAAGCTAAGAACCTTAGAAAACTTTTTAACCTTCAAAAAATAATTTTTAACAAAATTGAAATAGAATTTCATAAACAATGTTTTTAGTACAGTGATGAGAAAATATTTTCGTATGATTCTGTTGTAAAATATGCTTCAAAAATCAAGAAAAATTCAAAAATTGATTGAATAAAAAAAACTTTTGTTTTAAAAGCAGTAGAAAAGGACTTGCTTTATCTGGGTCTGGCAGAATTTTGGTCAAGTATGAATGTGCCAGACCAATTTTATTTAAAAGAGGAATAAAAAATAAAAATTTTGGCGTTTAATTTTTTCTTATACCTTGTATAGAAAATTTGTTGTAATAAATTTGTTGGAGGTGGTATGTCAAACAATTGCGTCAAGAATAAGAACGCCAGACTTGAATTTCTATATTCAACTAATTAAAACGCCATCGTAAACTAAAAATTATGTTTAAGTTATGTAGATCAATTCTAAAAAAAATAAAATACAAATTTTATTAAAAAAAAAAAATTGGACAAGTCATAGACTACCAGACCGATGGTTTGTTATTCATCTAATACCCAAAAAGTAATAAAATATATTTTTGTACTTATTCTGGTTGACCACCTTTTTACGGCGGTCGCCGCTTGGACTATAATATTAATATCACCGACATTAGCAGCAATAATTTTTCAACACTACTGACTTTAAAATAGCTACTCGAAAATGGGACCCGGTTCTTTCCTGGACTCAATCGTTCTATATTCCTAACAGTAAATTTGACTTTTTGTTTTGTTTTCCTCCGTACGAAATGACCGGAACATCAATTACCTCTAATGATAAATTGACCGTTGCAGGTGATAATCCTCTCGCACACAGCGAGGTCGTGAGTTCGGACACTCCTTCGGCGGCCCATTAACGGTGTAATCCGAGGGCGAGGGTGGTCGGGAACGGGCAGGGCCGCCAAGGTCCCATAACTCATCCGCCAAGCAATCAATCAATCAATGCTCCGAATGTCTTGACAACGTAAATCCGATTTCCGCTTCTCTTTTTCCCATTTTGCACATTAGAACCGGTTCGACCTGGCACTGGCATCTGGATCGGCACCAGAAGTGTTTATCAGTCAATATTCAAGAGTGTGAGTGAAGTGTGAAATTTGAAGAAAAACTGGATAACGATAAAAAGGTCGAATGACCAAAGATATCGAATAACAAAATATTATTTAAATTAATTTAAACAATTCATAATAATCATACTTTGTTTACTAGAAAAAAAAATTAATGCATTCACTCAAAATCAATTAACAGAAACACCCACAAAAATAAACCTTGAGGATGGGTTATTTTGTTATTAAGGACGAGCAGATTTAAATTAATAAAGAAAACTCTAAATCAATAACACAAATGTTTTTTTAATAAATAGTACAATTAGTTTCGACTAACAAATCATCATCAGGTCTATATTAAAAATAGATAGTGACACGTAATAATATACCTACGTACAAATATGTAAGTGTAAGTAAATAATAATTGTAAGCATATTCTAATATTTCTCTCATATTCTTACCTCTGACTATCTATTTTTATAATAGATTTGATGATGGCTTTTTAACCAAAACTAGTTGCACTACCTCACTTAATAATAAAAGCATTTATGTGGTATTGATTTAGAGTTTTCTTTATTCGTTTGTTTCATGTCATGCGGGAAAAGTGCGAAATTCGGTCGAATTAGTAACATACCCACGATATACAAATATACTGCATAAAAACCAATGCACGTCATCGAAGACGTAATACATTTTAGACCGTCACAGCTCTACATCGTTGCCAAATTTTGAAAATAATTTGGGGAATCTTTGAAAGTTCCGACAATTGTAGCTACAGAAAAGAAAAGCAGCTGTAAATCGTTGTAATGTTAGCCAATAAGAAATACCAGTCAGTAGTATGTTCTATGTATAAGCATGAATCTATTGTTACGCAGGTTTTTGGTATCACAATTTTTTTAAATTCAACTTTTGCAATAACTTTCCAATTAATAACATTAACGTATAACGTCTATCATAAAACTTAAAACTGACGTCAGGATCATCCTTATATTCGCGATTCAAATTAATTTTCGCGCGCCTGTCACGTATAAGTAGGATGTTTGTTTATTTACGTGTTGTGGGATTTTGTATTTGTGATTTTTTAACTGTTTTTAGATAATATTCTTATTATAATAGTGTTTTTGAGTTTCATTTAGTGTTAATTTAAGTTTAGTTTTCGTGCTTTCGTTATAAATGTAATTTTTCATGTGTAGTACGAACTAATTTGTTGGAAATAGTGACCTATTGGTTGCTACAAGAACATCTAGAAATATGTATTTACTAGACCCAGAACATGTTTTATTATGTGGTTTAAAGGACATATCAGGTACCAAACGTTTATTATTGATGAACTTCTTTAAAAATCTTACTATCCTTATTCTTATATCATGAAGTGAATTGTGTAGTACTTTGTATACATGTAAATGGTAATAAAACCGTCACAACTCATATTGGAGTTTGATTCTAAACAACGTTTTGCAAAATTTCAATATTGTGAATTTGTAGATACCCATTTATCGTAAGAAACAGAATTTTATGACTTGCACTTGAAAAATAATGAATACTCCAGTTTTGATTTTGACAATAACACCATACAAATTGCAATTTGCTGGAGGCTTTTTCGCAGATTTCATTTTTAATTTAAATACTATCACATACTATAAGAAATAAACAAATTTAAAGCTAAAAAGTAACAAAAAACTCTAATTGTAATTGATACAAATTAAAATGTAAACAATGAACACGAACGCCAATGTTGCCAAATGATGAACTGATTTTGTCTCTGACTGATTTTAAAACTAAAATTAATAAATGAACTGATATTTAAAAAAAAAATCAATATAATAAATCGATTTTATAAAAAAATCCTTAAATAAATAGTATGATTACATATTACTAGACACAAATTTTGATTCTTAAATAAAAGGTCTTATCCATTTCTTCAAAAACTAAAATCCGACGACGTAACGAAATTTTGCTGCTTCTGGCAACACTGAACGTCATCCTACTTATAGGGACCTTTTACTAATTTCCTCCAGAGGGCGTATCACTTAGCTTGAATCGCGAATAGCTTGCTTGACCCTTCTCGAACCTTCTCGAACTGTCATCTAGAATATTCTTGACGGGTAAAGACATTTAGTCATTTTGGGACTATTCCATCTTCTTTCACTTGTACTCCTACTAATAACGACCGCAGCACACTATAGTGTGATGGGTGACATTGCACTTCTTTTCATATTCGTACGTTTCCTATAACGGCCGCAGGCCACTGCAGGGTGTAGTGTAACACTATTAAGATCATTAGATGATTAAGGTTTTTTTCTACAACCCTTTACAAAAAACATCATTTTGTAATAGAATACCTTCAGCGAAAACGTGATTTCCGTCGCAAGTGAGAGACATTCTTATAACGTTAACTTTCGTCTCTAGTGACGAAAGTTAAATTTATATTTTTAATCATTTCTCGCACTCGTATATAGTGTTTTGACGATTTTAAATTATTAATAAATAAAGACAGGAATAATTTCTATAATTAGAATGCATTTTTTTACTTTTTTTTTTAATTTAAAAGCAAAATAGAATCAAAAATACGGTGAGATTTAAAAACAATTTATATCTAGTTGCCTGGTTTTATCAGTTTGAGGTTCTTCGTTAATTGTCTAGACTTATCAGTTTGTACCAAATACCAAATCAAGCTGAAGAAACCTCTTTGGATTTATTACCAGTAAAATCTAAAATGAGATATAAAGATATATATGCAAAATTTATTGTTTGGAGAGTTGAAAATCACTAAATTCATTTTCGGAAATTTTTGTTCTTATTATGATATAAATAGGGTTGTAGAAAAAGTATAGTGTTACACTCGTCGAAAACATTTTTTAAAGCTCGTGAACATTACCAGCCTCGGCTGGTAAATTGTTCTCTCGCTTTGAAAAATGTTACTTTCGTCACTCGTAAAACAAACTATTAAAAAATAATATCAAAATTTGCTTTATGGAATGATATTAATATAGCATGTAGAAGCACTATTATAATGTTATAACTACCTGAACAATATTTGGGTATCAAAAAATGAAAACATAAATATTTTTCAAAACATAACGACTTTTATTTTACAGTTTGTTAGTTATATAAAATTCCTATACAAATAACAAAGTAAATATTAAACAAATAATAAAAGGTAAACTAAAGAATACAATTATTATTACAGTACAGTACTGCAATCGATTAAATTATTAGTGTGTATTTCACTCAATAACTCCAAATCATCACCATGATTTTAACAATGTCTCTTTCGACGTCTCTTGAGATTATTATTCAGATTGATCGCTACTGAAATCACTATCATCGCTGTTTGGTGTAATAATAATTGGAACAATTTCTATTCTATCAGTTATTTCCTCTCTATCGTACCATTTTGAGATTTCTTTTTCTGTATGGCTGATATTTTTTTTCTAAATTTGTGGTGTTATGGTCCTCCAGACCACATATTTAAACAATCTTCCTTTTTTTACCACCTCGATCAATATATCTATTGTAATATTGCTTTGTAATGCCCCAAATAAGTTCAATTGGATTGAATATACAATGATAAGGAGTGCGGCGTAATAATTTATGTCCGTATTGTTCTGCTAGAAGATCAGCCATGTAAATTTTTGGTAGTTTATTTCTAAAAAAAAGTAATTAAAAAATTACAGACGAAACAGATTTCTCTTACTGACTGTGCAACAAGATCAGAAGTCCCGCTTTAAACATAGCAAATGAAAATCTAATATTCTGATTTGTCAGCCACACTTGTATTTTAATCTTTGTCCAGCTAGCGTTTGGTGTTTTATGTAACAATGTACTCTGATATAAAGCATTGTCCATTATGATTAAGGATGGTTCATTAAGTTTTATTAGTAACTGTTCTTCAAACCATTTTAAAAAATTCTCATTATTCATTGTACCATGATAATCACTCAGCTTACTTTATGGGGCAAATATAGCCTCTGCTCCTACAAGGAACCCATTTTCATTTCCAGCATTGAGTATAATGTACCTATAAATAAAAAGTTTAACAGGATTATCTAGTAATTACTTACGTACTTTTTACCATCAACTT